TGATAAGCACCCCCCTTGTTTAAGCACCCTCCTTCAAATAAGCACCCCTCTTTTAGGCAAAATTTTAAATGAGCACCAAGGTACTTATTCAAGGATATAGGGTATTTATGCTTCATGTGTATGCTAGATTTGTTCAAGCAAGTACATATCTGAAGTAATGATTAAAGGCATGTGTGCTACACTGCACCTGAGTGATTAAAATATCTCATGAGAGAGAAGAAAACATTGATATTAACAATTATTGTTCCTTAACCAATCGTAATTTATCACAGATGATATCTAACTTACTTTCAAAGATGGTTTAGGATCTGGAAGAAAATGGATCATTTCTCGCATTTTCTCAAAGAGTACTTGTGCTGAAACAAAATATATAAAAAGGAAAACTTATGCCACAAATATGACTAAATGAATAAAAACTTTTCTTTTAAACAAATTATTTTTTTCTGTAACAAATATCTGAAATCATGGGTTTTCACTTTGTATAATAGTTATTGAGGATTTGGATGACAATTAAAATTCTACAGATACCTTTGAGTAAAACTTTTAGCCAAGGTAACTTCTGAGTAAAACTTTTGGCCAAGGTAACTTTTGAGTAAAACTCTTGGCCAAGGTAACTTTTGAGTAAAACTTTTGGCCAAGGTAACTTTGTTAAAGCAGGATGAGTTATAATAAGCCCTGGCTGATTATTTCAGGGAACTCTAAACAGCATTTTTATCCTTGCAGTATGCAGGAAGTTTGTCATCATGGAGCAAGTTGACAGCCTAGCCTGCCACAAGTCTCCTACAACTCACTGTGGTAGAGCACGCAAAATACTAGTCCGAAGGTCATAGATTTGACTTCTATTGTGAGCACTTAAGAGTTCCTTTTCTCCAAGGATGCCTGTGTCACTCACTGAATATGGTCTTCTTTCATCTTCTTTCTATTTCAAGATTTAACTCTTGTTTCCCCAAAACAGCTTTGAAAAATAACTTAGAGATGAAAATGTCCACATTATCTAAAGAATTCAAAACTATGTAAAAACCGTTCTATTCGTTAAAATAGTTGATGAATACGTTGGGAATTAAACATACGTAGCCTGCAGATGTACCTTTCGGTTCAAATTTGTTTTGATATTCCACTTTGTGGCCTGCATCGATCTTTCCCATTGTTGTCTGAAATCGAAAAACAGATTTATACCAAAATTGTTATCTGTTTATGAAAATCCTTGCCACTCGAGAATTCAATACATGATGGAAAATCGATTAATGCATCGATAATGACCAGGGCGAGAGGCTAAAAACTACCTTTGACTTCGCCAACTAAGACAAACAAAAGAAAAGTGAAATAAACTAAACAAGATAAAAACGATGGAAATGTTCCTTACAGCGTACTCCTTCTTGCAAAGTGGCTCCAGTTGGGAACACAAAGTCAGAACTTCAATAGCAACATCGTCTGGAGAAAACTGAACCTTCCAGAGTGGCTCATGAAGGCGGACCTCAACTGCAGGATGCGAGGAAAACAGGTGAATTTGCTTGCCTGGTTAATATTTACAATCTGGCGAGGACTTCGTAATAGAAGGACAACACGCACAAACCTTTGAATGAAGGATCGTAGGCAAGAGGTGCACATAATGGCCCAGGAAGAAGGGCTCGGTCTAAATTCATTTTTCGAATTTCAAGCCTTTGCAATGTTGAATTATCTGCGCATGAAATCTGGAAAGAAACTTCCTGCAAAGGACGCCATGACAGCTGTTCAGATCGATACTTCATATAGGATTCATTAATCATCGCACGTGCGGTGGTATTCTTGCGATGCGCCGCTGACCAACATTAGTTAGGAGGGGGAGAAAAGGGGGAAGGGTGGGGCAGGCAATGGGAAGAGCTGGAGGGGGAGGTAGGGGGGGTCCTGCTTTATTGAAAGGTGATTTCATCGTTAAAGGTCTGAATGAAAAACGAAACAAATCCAACAAACGCACAGATGTTGGGCTAACTGGTGAACCAATGGGTTCAGCAGCTTAAAACATGGAGTTACCCGGCTGAGTTTAGAGGGGAACTAATAAATTGACAGGGTCTATAGAGGAAGACGGTTAGAGGAGTGGGTGGGGAAGAACAGGACTGTTGGTAATTAAACAGATAAGTAGATTAATCTCAATCATCTCTTATCTGTTCCAGGCAGTTGGACAGTTAAAATGGATACTGAAATAGTTCACAGAAAAACGAAGCAAAAAAGAGGAAAGTTTGGTCAGGTTGAAAAAAAGGGGATTTAAGTTGCATAATGTTCCTTCATTTATTTGATCTGCCGCTAGTGTGGCACTGTTAATTTGTATATTCCTTTTGGATAACCATACATCTGGATTAGGTCAAGTCATCTCATGAATTAAACTTAACCTTTAAATCAACCACAAAGATAGTTTTGAGCTGATTTACAAAAGTTTCCCAAAATTTCGACTTGCAGTATGCAGTCAAGATGTTGCAGTCCACTAAACATACCACAACAAGAATATTTCAGCGTGCAATAATTTAATCAAAATTGAAGAAACTTTATTCCTATCACTCTCAAATAAAATTCCTGCACTTAAATCTCATAAATAATACATATTTTCCTGTACAATTTACAGCTTGGATAAACTATCTCTAGACTAAGGAAACCTCTCTACTTGACTATATACCATTCCCTCTTCCGGAAAAATCTCTATATACATTCAAAAAGATACCTTTTCAAACAAAGTATAGGAAATGGGCATAAAACCCAACTATCAAGTGTAAAAATGGTTCTTTTTTTTCAAGAGGATTGTGGCATATTCAAAACCAAAAATTCACTTATCAATTTCATTCTTGACCCCTTGGGACACTGAGATAAACTGATTTAAAACCATCTTGAGATTTTCATCAAATTTGAAAAAAAGTTGTTGAAAGAGTTCTAAAAAGGAGATAATTACAGCGTTATGTGATACTTTGTGCAAACTGACCCAATGCTTAACATTTAAGCTCCCAAGAGTGACCAAGACAGTATTTCTCCTTATAATAACAACACAGTATCAAACAGACAAGTGATGAGAATAAAGAAACATATCAATTACAGGAAAATCCATGGATCAAATACCAACTTCTCCTACTTCAAAGGATATAGTACCAACGTATATGTAGTGGGGTCACATCACATCTCCCTAAACAGCACAGTACATAAAAGTTATTTCCTAACATCGGTCTCAAAAAATTTAAGGATCAAGACATTTCTGACAAAGTTAAATGCAAGTCAAACTGGTTTGAAGGCATTTTAACCTGAAATTCGTTTTCAAATAGAAAGACAGAAATACCGTAATTAACATTTTAAAGAAACAAGGAGTTCCAGCCCCTTGAGTAATTATTCAATTGTTGTATCAATCGTCTCATACTTTATGAACCAGAGAAAGTTTGATAATTTCAATCTGCGAGTTTCATAATACATTTCGACTCAAAATTCACTTCGCATGGCAGAAGTATTGTACTGAAATAAACAAGACAGAATAAAGCTGACGCCATTCGTTTTGAATAACACATGAACATGAAGAACATGAAACGGCACCAGTTTAAACTCATGAGACAAAGCCCACGTATTTATTTGAGGTAAATGAACTGGTTGGACCGAAAGCGAAATAAATAAACAATGAACTGACAGTGGTGAGGGATTTGGGGGCCATGTGATAAACAAGTTTTACCGAAGTTTGTCCTCTAGTCAGCCCTTCAAGCCCAAAGAGGCAATTAAAAAAATACTCACCAAAACACAAAAATCGGGGATGGTTGAGGCAAGACTTTAACCGTTGTTAAGATACACGCCTACATACCATGTATAACAGACTTGGAGAGCAAAAAGGCCAAAGACAGTTGTGAGCCATGACTTGGGAAATCCACCTCAACCTCCCGAAACCGATTTCGCCGAAGGCTGTTGTAAGAGCAACTCAATCCTGAAGCTGGAACATTTTTTAAAGCCTTGTGTGACTACAAAGAGAAAGAAAAGACAATGTTATTTGAAGCGATTCGAAGCTTGGGGGCCACCTCCAACTTTACACAATTTTATTTCAAAGTTGCAGTAAAATAAGATCAAATTCTGAACTACCTTCTATTATCGTAACGAATATCTCACGATCATCCCCACATACAACTTC